TCAAGCAGGCCCTCGGCCCAATCCAGAGGAAGACCGCTCCTCTGAAATCTGCCACTGGCGAGGTGATTCAGGACCAGACACTGCAGCTGAAGCACTGGGTCGAGCACTACTCTGAGCTATACGCCAGGGACAATGTGGTCACCGAAGACGCCCTGAGCGCCATTGAGTGTCTGCCTGTGTTAATGGAGCTCAACAGCGAACCGACCCTCGAAGAACTCAGCGATGCCCTAGACTCCCTTGCTTCTGGTAAAGCTCCTGGCAAAGATGGCATTCCTGCTGAGACCTTGAAGTGCTGCAGAGGTAGCCTGCTCATGGAGCTGCATGAAATTCTCTGCCTCTGCTGGGAAGAAGGAGAGGTGCCACAGGACATGCGGGATGCCAACATCGTCACGCTGTATAAGAATAAAGGTCACAGTCGTGACTGCCACAACTACCGTGGAATCTCCCTCCTCAGTATTGTCGGAAAGCTGTTTGCTCGAGTCGCATTGAATAGGCTCTAAGTACTTGAAGAGAGTCTATCCAGAATCACAATGCGGATTCAGAGCTGACAGGTCCACCATCGACATGGTCTTTTCCCTCAGACAACTGCAGGAGAAATGCAGGGAACAGAAGCAGCCACTCTTCGTAGCCTTCATAGATCTGACGAAGGCCTTCGACCTCGTCAGCAGGGATGGCCTGTTCAAGATCCTCCCCAAGGTCGGATGCCCACCCAGGCTCCTCAACATCATCAGATCTTTCCATGAGAACATAAAGGGCACCGTGGTCTTTGATGGCCTAACATCACACGACTTTAACATCCGAAGTGGAGTAAAGCAGGGCTGTGTACTGGCTCCAACCCTATTCGGGATTTTCTTCGCAGTTATGCTGCGGCACGCCTTCGGATCTGTCACAGAATGCATTTACCTCCGGACCAGGTCGGATGGAAAGCTCTTTAACCTCGCCAGGCTGAGAGCCAAGACGAAGGTTCGGCTGAGGTGTCTGCGCGACTTCCTTTTTGCCGACGACGCAGCAGTCACTGCCAACTCAGCCGAAGACCTCCAACGGCTCATGACCCGCTTCAGCGAGGCCTCTCAGGCTTCCGGACTCACCATCAGCCTGAAGAAAACACAAGTCATGGGACAAAGAGTGGACTCCCCACATGACATCGGCATCTCCGATTCCGTGTACCTGGGCTCCACAATCTCTGACTCCCTCTCTCTCTTGAAACGGAGCTAAACAAACGCATCGGTAAGGCATCTACTACCATGTCCAGACTGACAAAGAGAGTGTGGGCCAACAATAGGCTGACTAAGTATACTAAGATTCAGGTTTACAGAGCCTGTGTCCTGAGCACTCTCCTTTATGGCAGTGAGTCTTGGACACTCTGCGCCCGTCAGGAAAGACAGCTGAATGCCTACCACATGCGCTGCCTTCGACACATCTTGGACATCACCTGGCAAGACAAGGTGACAAACAGCAACGTCTTGGGGAGAGCAAGAATCACCAGCATGTACACAATGCTGAAACAGAGACGAATACGCTGGCTCGGACACGTTGTGCGAATGGGCGACGGCAGGATCCCCAAGGATCTCCTGTACGGAGAGCTGATGCAGGGAAAGCGTCCAACAGGCACGCCGCAGCTACGGTACAAAGACGAATGCAAGAGGGACCTGAAATCCATGGACGTCGATCTTGCTATATGGGAGACACTGGCTGCAGACAGTTCAGCCTGGAGGCAGTCTGTTCAAAGAGGTCTCTCCAAGTTCGAGGAGTCACTTGCCAAGGAATCGGAGGCAAAGAGACAGAGAAGGAAAGCCGGTAGCCAGGAAGACAGACCAAAATCGGACTTCGTTTGTGCTCGGTATGGGATGGACTGCCACTCTCGGATTGGCCTCATCAGTCACACCAGACGCTGCAACAGGATTGACAACCAGGGCGCAACTCCATAGTCTCCCGAGACTGAAGGATGCCTACTATGGTTAATAAGATATTCTTGTTGATAGTTCACCAGAGATACTAGCAACAGTACGCCAATAATACAAGGAATTGTTCATCAGTAATACTATTAACAGTACACCTGTGCTTCTAGTGTTTGTTCACGTGTAAGTGACTTGGAGGATCAGAGTGTTTGTTCATAATAATTATGAACAAAATCCTTTATTTACTTTTTGTATTATTTACCTTTTTTCTGTTAGTTACTATTAGTTCTTAAAAGTAAATAATAGTAACTAATAATACATAAATATAAATATTTATTGTTATTTATTATTGGTGTGTGTTCAGAGTAAATAGCTTCCCGCACTGATTATAAATTGATTGAAATTGTAATTTAGAATTCTTTGTGGTGTGGGTCATATACTTCACGCAATGCTGCTATTATTTTACTAAATTGGAACGTTAAAGTGGGGTTAATCACTCCTTCCCTGTTATTAATATCCCAGAGAAGATATTATGCCGAGCAGCTCAGCGTAATGCACATTTTACAGTCTTGGGTGGATCTCTGTTGCATGCTAGCAGCCCCAGTCAAAGGTGTAGCAGTTGTGTTGCATGCTAGCAGCCCCAGTCAAAGGTGTAGGAGTTGTGTTGCATGCTAGCAGCCCCAGTCAAGGGTGTAGGAGTTGCGTTGCCTGCTAACAATCCCAGTCAAGGGTGTAGAAGTTGTGTTGCATGCTAACAATCCCAGTCAAGGGTGTAGGAGTTGTGTTGCATGCTAGCAGCCCCAGTCAAGGGTGTAGGAGTTGTGTTGCCGGCTAACAATCCCAGTCAAGGGTGTAGGAGTTGTGTTGCATGCTAGCAGCCCCAGTCAAGGGTGTAGGAGTTGCGTTGCCGGCTAACAATCCCAGTCAAGGGTGTAGGAGTTGCGTTGCCGGCTAACAATCCCAGTCAAGGGTGTAGGAGTTGTGTTGCATGCTAGCAGCCCCAGTCAAGGGTGTAGGAGTTGCGTTGCCGGCTAACAGCCCCAGTCAAGGGTGTAGGAGTTGTGTTGCATGCTAACAGCCCCAGTCAAGGGTGTAGGAGTTGTGTTGCATGCTAGCAGCCCCAGTCAAGGGTGTAGGAACAATCCCAGTCAAGGGTGTATTAGTTGTGTTGCATGCTAGCAGCCCCAGTCAAGGGTGTATTAGTTGTGTTGCATGCTAGCAGCCCCCGTCAAAGCTGGTAGAGCTGTTGACCTGGATATCATGCAGAGAATATTCATTGAGCAAATCCATTCAATACATCTAAAATAATTGTGACTTAAAAATTTCTCAAATTTTAAATTCCAAGCAGTAACTTTACTGCTTGGAACGCAGGTGAGAGAGATACATAATAATTTACGGCTGGAAAATATTAGAAGAACTGGTTTCAAATCTGTACACAGAAATAGTTCCTTACGAAATCCGAAGGCATGGCATAATGTATAAAATATTCCCTTTAGGGAGTGATGGTAGATGGGTACGCTAAGAGACAATTCTACTAACATTAGGGCCTAAGACTTTTCTCAACATTCTCCTTTTAAACATAAATTGTGTAATTAGCTCACCCCTTTCGCCTTACAAAAAAAATGACAAATACTTCGAAAAGGTAAGTGATCTACTGGGCGGCGTTTTCTCTCATTGTTGTGGTTTCCCGGCCCAAGGGGAGTGATTAACACTGATGTTAACTTTATGTTAAACACCATGGAGGCCAAGGATTGCCTTATAGGACCAATACGTTTCTCAGTCAGGTGTGTGGGAATAAATAAATAGAGAATTACTCAGCAAAGTTAAGGTAGATTTCAGGCATTGAAATCTCTTCTTAGAAATCAGCGCCAGAGAGACCGAGGAAATTCAGTTTTTAGGCAGCAAGAGACCCTCGTTGTCTAATCCCATATGCCCAACCCACCTTCTAATTAATACGTCTCATTTTTGACGTTGTGGTCCCCAACGTACAAAGTTCTATGGAAAGAAATCTGTTTCTTTTCGACTTCTTGAAAAACTTATAACTATAAGAGAGAGAGCATGTACATATACACCTTTACAACAAGCATATATATACCTCCTTGTTGTAAAATACTTCACTGTTGCAGGTGGTGATCATAGCGATGTATTCCTTCTACTTCTTCGCGGTGCTGGGCGAGCAGATCCTGAGCCCCGAGCTGGGATATATCGGTCATACCATTGACGTCTGTATCCCGGTCTTTGCCTTTCTCCAGCTCCTGTTCTATATCGGCTGGATTAAAGTAGCCGAAGCGCTCCTTAATCCGTTCGGGGCAGATGATCATGACTTCGAACTGGTGCAACTGTTGAAGAGGCACATTGAGGTACGTTACAGGAAAGCATCACCAATCCACCTTCTTCTATGTGGTAATGTGCTAATAATCATCAGTGATGTATGCATGAGGGGCAGTTGGTTAATGAGGGATAACATATTGTTTCGTGGGGTGAATGATGTGACGTTGGTCATCAATACTCTTGTTTGGCTGTTGCAGATGTCCCGCTTGCTGTCAGAGCCGGGCCCGAGCCAGCTCCCGGAGACCGTGCGAGATTGTGAAACAACCCATCCGGCCAACTTTGTTAACTACGCAGATATTGATGAAACTCGGTCCGGAAACTCCGATGATTTGTAACTCTAGTGTAGAGCCTCGGTACCAGGGACGGTAACTCTAGCACGGAGCCTCAGTCGCTGTGGCAGAAACTATAGTTTAGAGCTTCTAGCCCATATGTAGGACTCTGGGATGGAGCCTCAGTCTTAGTGGTAGCTGTTTTGTGTTATAGAGACTACTAGGTGGAATACCTCGGGTGCCAGGATCATCCTTGGCACCCCTGCTCTGTCTGTGTCTGTGTGTTTTCTCGTATGTCTTCCTGTTTCTGTCTGCCTCTGACTGACTGTCTGCCTCTGACTGACTGTCTGCCTCTGACTGTCTTCCTGTTTCTGTCTGCCTCTGACTGACTGTCTGCCTCTGTCTGTCTGTCTGCCTGTCTTTGTCTGTCTGCCTGTCTTTGTCTGTCTGTCTGTCTGTCTGTCTGTCTGTCTGTCTGTCTGTCTGTCTGTCTCTCTCTCTCTCTGTCTCTCTCTCTCTCTCTCTCTCTCTCTCTCTCTCTCTCTCTCTCTCTCTCTCTCTCTCTCTCTCTCTCTCTCTCTCTCTCTCTCTCTCTCTCTCTCTCTCTCTCTCTCTCTCCTCTCTCTCTCTCTCTCTCTCTCTCTCTCTCTCTCTCTCTCTCTCTCTCTCTCTCTCTCTCTCTCTCTCTCTCTCTCTCTCTCTTTCTCTTCTCGTTCTCTTTACCTCTATACCTTCTCTCCCTCCCGAGGTCTATACCTCCCGTTCTCAACCTGTCTCCCTTCTCTTTCCCTCTCGTTCTCTCTCTGTCCGGTAGTCTATCCTTTCTTCCCTTCCTCCCTCTCTATGCCTCTTCCTCCCGTTCTCTCTGGGCAAAACGTGCTCGAGTAACGTTGACTCAACGTTTTCGACGTAGATTCCTCATCGATAACAGCTGGATAATATAATAATAACACTCTGGACATTCAACCCCCCTTTTCAGTTTCATACTCGTCGTTGGGATTCTGAACAGGAGTTGATCCCTCTTCAGGAGGTTCATGGTGGTCGACCCTAACGTCCTTATGGCTCTTACTATACAAACACTGTTAACAATGACCTCCAGCTTTTGACAGACAGACGCAAACACACATTCTCTCTTAAAGATGAGTAATATCCGTACTTGGTGATTTCACTGTCTATTGCAGCAATAATTATCCATTACATTAAGTCCATATCCTTTCTCCATAACATTTTGATCGTGTTTTTATACTTTTATAGAACTTTGAAATATTTGAAGATACTGCCACAGTTACCAGTTCACAAATAAGTGTTATAGTTGTTCTTCTCAACGTTCTCGTACCTTTGGCTTTTAAAGATATATGTTTTCGTCTTCCTTGCGAAACTGCAATCTAGAATTCAGGCCAGCTTAAAGTGGAAGGAAATAGGACATAGTAGACAAAAGGTATATGTACCGAGAGGAACACCATTGAGGTACATCATGCTTTTCTGTGTAAACTCTCACACTGAGAGTTTACCGGACTATGCTCTGGACCAAAGTAGCCATGCTAGTTGGTCGGTATAAGGACTTGTGGTTACCTTATGCTAGTTGGTCAGTGTAAACACATGTATTTGCCTAAATAACCCTCCAGAGACTAACAGGACCTTGGACCCAAATCTAAGCCAAATCTAGCAGGCCAACAAAAAAAAGATTAACATGTAAATATGGTTAAAAATAAATGAAAACACCATATTGTGAACATTATTTTTTATTACACCCTAACAACAATATTTCTGTCGTGTTGAGGTAAATGTGAGTTAACTGGGGAACCACACCACGGCTTTAAAGATTATGGAGACAATATATTACAAAGCAGACATATTATGTTGCTATCACTATTTGTCCCCTCCTTATTTTTACGTCTGTAAAACGGTTACCTCTTGTGTTATAAATAATTGAAAATGCTGTTATCATCCTCTTCTGTTGCAAGGCTTTCAGATAGGTTATTACCGTCCTTCGTTATGTGATGGTATTGTAGAGCCATCCATGCTTCAGCAGCACTCTCTCATGAATATCCAAAATGTCAATTATGATAATAATTCTATAATTAACACTGCCACTAATGAAAACATTGCACACCATATCATCAGATGTGTAGACGACACACAGTTCTATGGTAAAGTCGGAAGCGGGAATGATATTGAAGCCTTGCAAATTGTCAGACGATTTGTAAATGTTTTTCAATATTGAAATGCAAGACTTTGCATGTTGGGCATAACATTATTTTTGAGATTTTTTTTTTTAGATATATACAAGAGTTGTTACATTCTTGTACAGCCACTAGTACGCGTAGCGTTTCGGGCAAGTCCTTAATCCTATGGTCCCTGGAATACGATCCCCTGCCGCGAAGAATCGTTTTTTCATCCAAGTACACATTTTACTGTTGCGTTAAACAGAGGCTACAGTTAAGCAATTGCGCCCAGTAAATCCTCCCCGGCCAGGATACGAACCCATGACATAGCGCTCGCGGAACGCCAGGCGAGTGTCTTACCACTACACCACGGAGACTGCCAAATAACTATCACATCAACATCATGATCATGAAGCTTATTGGTGAAGAAAGAATCGTAGAAGTTATGATCCGTCAGCCAATGAATGGTTCCTCAACGAGTAGGGGTTAGGGTAAACAAATTGCTAACCAAACCATGGAATAACGCGCCTTTGATTTTAAGGAAGAGAAAGTGGTAATTTAACTCGATTGATCTCTGTAGCGCCTCAATCAACACTACGGTATGCTACTATAGAGATATCGTCATAACAAATAAAAGCCATATCTACTTTGGAGAAACTTAATAGTAGAACAACAAAAATCCACCCCAGAACTAAGCCTACTAAGTATTACCAGCACTATTAACTACACATGACAGGTCTGATATCATCGATACTTTAAAATACTGAACAGATTAGAAGATATTAATCGTTCAACAAGTTACAATACAGGAGAGAAAGGAGTAGACGATTTTCCCTCTTTTCGATGTTTAGTTTTCAAGAAATAGTTAGTTTATAATGAAGTTAACCCCTTTAAAACATGTTTTCGTTTTCTTTTTCAACAATACTAGAAAATGAGAATTAGGTAAGACAAAATTATAATGTTTGCTCTCCAGTTATAGGGACCGAAAAGACTTCACTGAGGCTTGCTTACTTACTTACTTCCCTTCTACTTTGGAAAGCCCAACGCCAACGACTGACCTTCCACTGGATGCAAACCTCAACAATGGTTTAACTCCCGGGAACCTGCTTATTGCTAAGTGAACATATACATGATATGAAAGGAAACGTGCACAATCATCCTGCAATGTGTGGAAATTGAGCATATAAGACAGTATATCTGTCTGTTTATTTGTCTGTCTGTCCATACTTGAAGGCCAAATGTTTTGGGCTAGCCTCACCAAAATTGGCACGTGGAATTGTGTGGGGTACAGGACGAACTTAGACTGGTCGGTGTAAGCCTACATTGAATGCTTTAGGAAATATTAGCAAAATAATAATAATAATAATAATAATAATAATAATAATAATAATAATAATAATAATAATAATAATCCTCATATCCATTTTTTATGGAGTCTTTTACGGAATCTATCGTGAAATCTGGCGTGTGATTAACGTGGAGCTGTTAGATAAAAAATAACGAAGTAAGGCAGAGAAAGAAAGAGCAATACATCCAAGACCCAACATTTCAGTGTTTTATGAGAGAGGATGCTGAAGAGGGGTAAGAAGGACAGTACGAAGATATAGCTAGACAGAGAAAGAGGGGAGACGCAGACAGACCCGAGCAATGCCAGGTACTCTCCCTGATATAATATAATTATATATTGCCCTTCCCAGCAAGTCCATTAGGAACTTTCAAGTATTTAAAGTGAGGTTTGTGTATTATTCAGGTTTATCATTTGATATTACGGATATTGTGGCCTAAACCTAAATGAAATAGTTGACCACATAACCCGAATGCGCTCAAGCATGGGGTTAAATGAACATAAAGACCCTCCCATCCTTTTGTAGAGTGGTGGTACAGTAGTACAGCACTCGGCTTTGTTGTGAGGTGGTACAGTGGTACAGCACTCGGCTTTGCATCACGCGGGCGGAGGTTCGAGCCCCAGCAGGGGCATTTGGAACTTACAAGTATTTAAAGTGAGGCCTGTGTACTATTCAGGTTTATCATTTAATATAATATATTATAATGACAAATCATCCTTCATCTTGAGTGAAAGACGGAAATGCACACCTAACAGTCATTGTAATAGCAATTCTTACATAACATTTACATTAGGATAATGTATTTCGCTGGTAATCCAACCCACAGATGGCACTGATGAAACTTCGGGGAAAGGGCATCCTAACTGTTTGTGGAGCTTCCACTCTTCTCTAAGGTGTTGGTAATCTGTTTGCATCGCCAACTACTACAGTTCTCTCCGGCCCTCTCTACACCTGTCACACGTCCCTGGGGCTGAGTGAAGGTCTGCTTCATCAATTAGTTTCAACATAAAAAATGTCATCGACAACTTTTGACGAAAATGGCACGCCGGACTGCAGCTCCACCACACTATTTGAATCAGGAATTCCTTCTTTGACTTATGAGTAAGTAAGCGTAATATGCACATTTATTTAACATCATTTGTTTGGGGTGTTGTTTTTAGAAAGAAAAGGTAAAATGCTGCCCAAAAAGACTGTTATAACTTTTAGGGCAAGGCTTTAATGCAAGACTGCCTTAGTGTTCAGAATTGCCTTTGCATTAGACTACATATCTTTTTGATAGTTTCTCGAGGCACAGAATATCAGAATATAGCACAATGCAAATACTTGGAACCAGTCATTGAATCATTGACACCAGGATGCAACATGCAACGGCTACAGCACAACAATATTAGTTGTGTAACCATTTCAGATTTTTGAGTAAATTGTTGCCCTATAAGAATAAATTAGTTAACCTGCTTTTAACAGCCGAGGTGCCAGATTGACTTTCTTCCTCTGAGTAAGCTGCTCTAGGATGTATTAGTGTAGCACCAATAAATGCACTGGACGCCAGTAATAAATCTTTAATAAGAAAATGGTATAAGGATTACACCATATTCATGTGACTGAAATATGCCCTGCTGATTTTGTTAAATTGTTTGATTGGTAGACACTTTTAGAAGGTTGTGGACTTTTGTTGCATCAGTTTGTCTAGCAGCACTGACGTTTCACCTGGATACACCAGGCTCAGGGGTGTATTAGGTGTTTGTGGCCAACTACGAAACACGTACATCTTTTCTCAATAATGGCGGCTTGCCTTAACTTGTTAAAATATTCACGAATTTGTAAACTTCGGAAT